CAAGAGGCCCCCAAGCGGCCCCCAAGAGGTCCCAAGAGGCCCCCAAGAGGCCCCCAGGAAGCCCTGAGAGGCCCCCAAGAGGCTCCCAAGAGGCCCCCAAAGAGGCTCCCAAGAGGCCCCTAAACTGTCCTCCAGAGGCCCCCGAGAGCGCTTCGAAGAGATCCAAAAAAGCATCCAGAAGGACTCTGACCCACGTCAGCGTCGACGTCGTCGTCGTCGCGGCCGCCGTTGTCGTCGTTACCCTTCAGGGTCGGCGGCACCGGCCGTAATTCAGGTCTTCGCAATCCACCATCAGTGAGCAGTGAACTGCGTTGGAGGTAAAGTGCCTGGCTGCCGCGTACAAGATGCTCTTCACCCACGCTGCCACACCCAGAGTGCAACGCTGTTGATGGACCAGCACAGTTTCCTCCCATTGTCGCTGGTCTGAACATGCGCGGATGCTCCATGGAAGTCGAGGCCTCCGCGAACAGGATCATCACTGGCGCCACCTGCTGCATCGCTTACGTGGGCTCTGGAGAGCGGGCCCATCCTTTTTACTAAGAACCGTGGCCTCGGGAGCACGGGTCCGTCGTTATCTACCAAGGGTCGTGACCTCAGGAAAGCGGGCCCGATTTCTGCTTTACTGCTTTCCTGCAGTAAGTCGGCTACTGTTGGTAGTGAGGTTGGACCCGCAAATCATATCGACGATATCGCACGGCGACGGCCGACTGATAACAACGACGACATCTGGGGGGTTGAGTCGGGGTCCGCCTGGGGCGCTGAAGAGGATTCTGTCGGGGGCGTATTCTGGTACATTCGGGGCTTCATTGGCGGTTCACTCGGGTTCATTCGGCCCTGGCGGGGGGTCTCAAGACCGTAGGTTTTTGAAGCATTCGGAACCCGAGGTGTTCCACTCGCCTGCGACGACCCCCTCCTCAGAGATTGCTCACAGCGGACTCCCATCTCCAGGGGGGGGAGGGGGGGAAGGGGCTGCGTCCTCGAAACACTCCCTTCTAGAATTTTACCCTGCCCGCGCGTTCTAGAACTTAACCTCGGCCGGTTGGTCTTCTCAAAATTTTCGGCAGGGTCCGTCGTTGTCTGTCGGTCGTCGTCGTCGTCGTCGGTCGGTCGGGTCGGTCGGTCCGTCGTTGTCTTCGTCGTCGTCGTTCGTCGCTCTTGGTCGGTCGGCCCGTCGTCGTCCGTCGCTCGTCTCCGTCAGTCGGCGTCCTCGTCGCTCGGTAGTCGTTGGTCGGTCGGTCGGTCGGTGGTCGTTGCCGTCGTCGGTGTCTGTCGGTCGTCGCCGTCGGCTGACGTCGTCGCCGTCGTCGCCGTCGTCGTCGATCGTTAGGTCGGCCACTCGGTCGGTCGTCGTCGTCGTCGTCGATCGCTCCGTCGTCGGTCGGTCGTCGTCGTTCGTGGTCGTTGTCGTCGTCGGTCGCTCGGTCACTCGGCCGCTGTGTCGCTCGGTCATTCGTTCGGTCGGTTGGTCGTTGTCGCCGGCGTTGTCATTCATCGGTCGTCGCTGTTGGTCGTTGTCTGGTCGTTCGGTCGATCGGTCGCCGGGTAGGGCGGATCTGACGGCTATCGCATGAGTGTGCAGCTAGAGCGAACCACGCCTCCACCCCAGCCTAAACTACTTCTAATCATTCGACGGACACACCTCGTCCAAATTCTCACTGGCAACTCGCCATCGCTCGGACGTCTATTTCCTGTGCATTTTTCGATTTCGTGCGCGCATGTGTTAGTAAGGCGATCCAATAACCCCTCGATGGCCCTCGCCGAGAAAAAATGCACACGACCGAGCGTTACCAAGTATATGACCCGTTCCCAAACCCTGAACCAACACAGATGTGCATCTCCTGGGGACGATTGTCGGACTTCCGCCAGCGGAGGTGGCCTCGTTTTGTTTCCGCGAACTTCTGCCGCCCTTGCGCCGCTTCTCGCTGGGAAAAAGACGACGACTCCTTCGATCCTCGACGGCGAGGCCCTTTCTGGAACACCTCAGATCACGCCTCAACGTGCCAAGGGACACGGTGGCGGCTCTTCTGAGGGACCCCCATCTTACCATACTCAATGGCATGCACCGCTCCCCACCCTCCCCTTGTCCCGCTCCGTGGCCCCGAGGTCACGACCCCTAACAGAAAAAAATGATCCGCGCTCCCGAGGCCACGATCTCTTCCAACAAATGAGGATGAGCATTGCCGAGGCCATGATCCCTTGTAACAGAATCAGACCCGCGTTCCCGAGCTTCCAAGACGGCCGAGGCAAGTCACCGAAGCCAGCGGGACGGCCCAATATGCCTCCAAGACGGCACAAGATGGGCCCAAGGAGGTCCAATATTTCCTGGAGAGGGCCCCAGATGCCCCCAAGACAGCCCAAGAGAATCACAATAGGACCCCCAATAAGGACCGAAGAAGCCAACAAACCAATCTCCGTCCAGACATCCGACGCGTTGATTTGTTTGATCCGTGGGCCCCTTGAAGTCTCGACCCCTTGCCAAAAAGATTGTTCTACGTACGTCCTGGGCTCGCTTTTGATTTGAAGCCGGAGTAGTGAGTGTGACACAGACGAGTTCGCGAGAAGCGGTACAATTGTACTTGCTATAGTTGCTATCTGGATGCAATCGCTTGCGAGCTGGATGCTATACTTGCGCGAGTGGTAAGTGTATTTTTCTCGCACAGCTGTCGTCTGTGCAATAGTTCGCCCCCCCCCCTCCCCACAATAGTTGCGTGGTATCGCAGGCAATCGTGCACCATCAATGAACGATTGCATCTTTCGCCGCAGACCACTCTTCGCCAGTCCCACTACTCCAGCTTGGACGTACGACCTGCGTTGGGCACAAGAGAGAGGAGACGGCCATGTGTAGCATGGACAGGGCTACCCTGAAGATGCAAATTAGTCTGCACGCGACCTGGGGATAGCGAAAAGCCTCCCGTCGTGATTTGTTCATGGCTCGAGGGGGTCTGGGGATTTGGATGCCAGAAATGGGTAAGGGAAAGATGTGTTTGATGCCCGAAAACGTTTATTGTCCACAACTATCGACCGTCCGCGGCGGCGCCGACAACGAGTCCTGCTCAACATGAGCACGAACCGCTGTCTTGGAGGCGGCCAGAGGGTCTGAGCTGGTTGGGACCCCAGCCAATCGGTCATGTCTCGTTAAGACTGGACGACTTCTGCCGTCCTTCGACTCGCGCAGGAGCTGCCGCAATTTGCTCCCACTTTCCCTGGATATCTCCGGATTTACCTGCATTTGCCAGGATGTACCTCGATTAAATCGGTCCCCGGACACCTCCTGGGGTCCATGCGGGTCGAGACTTCGCCCCGGATCGAGTCCCCATGATCCTGCAGGGCCCGAGCGGCTTCCAGACGTCCAGATTCAGTGCTGGGCCACCTCGGCCCCCCAGCCAGCTCCAGCCGCTGTCGGTCTTCGTGCCCCTCCTTCCCGTGCCTATTCTGGAGTCAGGCATGTCCTCCTACAGGGGGATTTCGAAAGAAAAATTAAACATGGTCAGGCAATGCTCAAAAATAGTCAAACAATAGCCAACATATGCTCCCCATAACATTTTTGTTAACCATTGGTGCAGATTCCTCCTGTAGAGGGACATGCCCGACTTGAACCTATTCTACAAGAAAGGCGCCCATGCACCGTAACATGTCTGGACTCTGTTCAGGCCCCGCTCTAACGCGGTACCGTGCATAGCTCGTTCGTCTCTGGATGCCGGAAAACTATGCACTGTACCATGCCTGGGTCGAGGATGGGTGACGCCATGAGAGGCGCCAACGCGGTACGGTGCACACATATGGTCCGCGGAAATTCCGATCGTGCCCACGAGAACCGTGGGCCCTCCGAGCGCCCGAGGGGCCCAGGGCCTGCTCCGCCACCGCGACCCGCCCGCTCCCCCACGGCGGCGACGGGCGCCCTCGGCGGCGGCGCCCGATCTGCTGGCGCGGGTGGGCGCTGGCGGCGGCGGGGGCGACGGCGACGGACGACGACGGACCGCCTGGCGCGCCCGCTCCCGCGGCGGCGACGCGGGCCGGTCCGGGCCGGCGGGCTCCGTGCGCTGGCGGGCTCGCGGGCGCCCAGACCGCGGGCTGGTCCTCCGCTGGGGGCCGGGAGCAGGCCACGGGGAGGGGCAGGGCCAGGCTCGCAGGAGGAGGAGCAGCAGCAGGAGGCAGCCAGCAGGAAGGGAAGGAGGCTGGGGGGGGGGGGGTACCTCAGGGAGCGTGGAGACTGGCCGGGCCTGCTCAGTCACTGTGCCACCCCACGGGGCACTAGTCACTGGTGCAGTCTTGGACGCCTTCTTGGGGCTGGGGCACGAGCGGGGCTCGGGCCCTCTGGGAGGCTGGTGGGGGCGTCCTGGGGAGCCGCTTGGGGCCAGCTTGGGCCACCTTAGAGTGCCCTCTGACGGGTCCCTTCTGAACCGTCCGGGAGCGATCTGGGAGGCTTGCGGAACTATCTGCAACACCCCGACAGCCGTAAGGGCGAGCATGTGCCGATCCTGCAAGAAAAGACAATCATAACAAATCCCTGTTGGGGCAAGGGGGATCCTGGCAATATTTGTCGGGCGCCCATGGGCCGTGCTGGGCGGCTTCAGGTCCGCGTTGGGCCCATCTGGGGGCCCTGCGGGCCTTTCAGGGAGCACTGGAGCCGTCTCGGATGCCCTCATGAGACATCTGAGGGGGGCACATACAGCAGTCTTTGAGGCTGGGGGGAAACTTCCCAGGAGCCGCTTGTGGCCTGCCGGGGACGTCTTGGGCCCGTATTGACACTCTCTTTTCGCATTGACATTCCCTTTGAATGAAGATCAACAGGTGCGTTGTAACGCGCTACCATGAAACGTGTTGCACGCGCTGTCACGCCAGCGGGCGGAGCACGTGCGGTCATGCGGAAGATGGGGTGTCAGGAGGGGGGGAGGTCTCGGACATGCTGCCATACCAGCAGGTGGAGCACTTCCGGTTACGTGACTACGTCCTCGTGGTCATCCTTGCTCCGTCTCCACCTCCTCCTCCTCCTCCTCCTCCTCCTCCTCTTCCTCGGTGAGGTGATCTCAGTGACCTGAGGCGCGTCTGGTCATTCGATCAACAACCGACGCGCAACAGCAGAAGCACGAACGGCTCACAGGCTGGACCTGGTCGGGGACAGCAGAGAGGAAAAGAGGCGGAAGCGGGGGGAGCGGAAGAGAGGGGAGGGACGGACAGAGAACGGACTGGCCCAGCCTGGAACTCGTTCCAGGCAGCCGGCCCAGACTGAGCTTCGAACACTCTGAGCTCGTCTCGGGGACTCGGCGAGCAAGGAAGGGCTTGCCAACCTGACTTCAAGGAGGCACGCCAGCCACACAAAGCACAACGCAAGGCAGGAACGTGCGATTCCACAACCTTGGCCCAAGGAAACGTCTCATTCTCCGTGCCCGTCACTGGGCCGTCTGGAGGCTCATAGGGGCCTCTTGAAAGGCTCTTGGAGCCAACCTTGGGCCCTTGTGCGGCGCGTATGAGCCGTCATGACAGCCTTTTGGAAACCTCTGCGGCGGTCTTGGGGTCTGTTTGGCCGCTGTCGTGCCGTCTTGGACCGTCTTGAGGCTGCCACGGCTTAAGAGGCTGCCAGACGGCCTCAATACGGCTCGAGAAGCTTCCAAGACGGCCGAGCAAGGCTCCGAGAGGCCTCCTGGAAAGCCTCCAAGAGAACCGGAGGATGCGAAACACATTGTGTTTCCGCTTGGGTTGGCAAATTTTGAGTTCTCACCCGTTTGGGTTTCCGACCGCCGAAGGCGGCCCAAGAAGCCTCCGGGATAGCTCTCATGATGCCCCCCAAAAAATAGCCCCCGGCCCAAGAGGAGCCCAATATCGCCCAAGAGCCTCCCAAGAGGGCACCCAGACGGCCTTAAAGTGGTCCAAGAGGGCACCAAGACGGCCAAGACCCCCCAAGACGGCCTCCGGATGCATCAGACGGGGCAAGAACCCCCTGAGACGGCACCCTTTCCCTTCTTGCCTTTCTTGTGTCCTTCTTCTCCTAGTCCTTCTCCTCCTCCTCCTCCTCCGCCTCCTCCTCTTCCACCTCCCCTTTCTCCATACCGCACCGACGAAGATGAGGTTGAGTTCGCGACCCGCCTCAATTCAGACTGCTCGCTGAACTGCAGCGGGGAGTGCACTCGACATCCCTGCTACAGCGCGGACGAAGACGAAATCGGATTCACAACCCGTCACACTTCAGACCGGTCGTCGGAACTGCGCTGCTCCTACATTCAGTCTCCGTCCTGCTGCGCTGTTGCGCAGGCACGGTGGCGGGGTTTGCCGTAGGCAGCCAGGAATTATTCCGAGCAGCCTGCATCCGCTCTCAGGGATAGTCGTGGCAGAGCGCTGGGCCAGCACTGCGTGTAAAGACTCGTGCTGCATGCGCATGCGGGCCCGCAGCCTGGTGGCGCCAGCTTCCCAGACGTTGCTGAAGAAGCGCTGGGCTCAAACAAAGCGCACGTGCATCTCGATCGTGGGCGCTGCTGCACTGACAATCCAACTATTCCGAATTACTCCTAGCACAAAAACACAAGCACACACACACCAGTACAAACACAAGACACAATCAAGAACACAAACACAACCACAAACTCACACACACTCACACATGACGGACAGTCCTGCGACACTAGCTCCCAGCAGGCGATGCTGTTCGGCGAGGGAGGAGAAGGAGGAGGAGGAGGAGGCGGAGGAGGAGGAGGAGGAGAAAGGAGGAGGAGGAGGAGGAAGAGAAGGTGGGATGGGAGGGAGGGAATCGGAGGAACATGTAGCCGAGAAACCACCATCACTGTTCGCTCGAGCCACGGGCCGAGGGCTGTATTGTGAGGCTCGGCTTGCGCACGACGTCCTTCTCGGTCAGACTGTGCCCTCGCTTCTCCAGCGATGTCAGCACCTTGCTCACCTGTTGGGTTATCTTTTTCATGTCGTAGCCGATCTCGGCGATATCCATGCTTGTAGCATTACCCCGTAGCTTCTCGCATCCCCTGAGAAAGTCGTCCAACTTGATAGCACCATCGTTCGAGCTGTCTATAAGCTTGAACAGCGTGAAGGCGTCGCTCACGTCGATCTGGAGAGCCTGGAAGTAGGCCTTCATCAGATCGTCCTCGGCGAATAGCTCCAGCTCGTCGATGGTTATACGACCCGACTCGTCGCCGTCGATAGCTCCAAAAAGTTGCTGGAGCTTCTCCGTAAGGACTCGCTTGTTGTCGATTATCGACTTGGCGACCAGGTCGGGATTTCGCTGGGTTGATTCTACAGCCGAACTGCAGAACACCCCAGTAATCACGTTCAGAACAGCGAAATACACGAACGCGATGTACACCGTGAACAGGGCGGTCGGGACGACCGAGATGATCTGCAACGTGAGGGCTGGGTCCCTCCAGCTAACGCCGCCAGAAATCGACTGGAAGAGCGTGTACATACTTACGTCTAGAGATCCCCACTCCTGTGTCAGCCTCGCCCTCTCGTCCTGGCCAAGGTCATCGGTGGACTCTACATGGTCCAACGCCTGCATGGTGAATGCGAGACCAAAGACGTAGATGATCATCACCAACAGAACCATGGCCCACAACAACGATTTCAGGGTCGCCAAAATCGAATACACCAGCATGCGAAGCGCCGCAACGAAACGGATGATGCGGTGCAGACGGAAGGCCCGCGTGAGCCGGACAAGACGAGCGAGCCGCACGCTCGAAAGCAGCGCGGCTCCTGGAAGCTCGTCGGCGGCAGACACGAGCACGTCCATGGCCATCTCGATCAGCGCCATGAGCACCACCAGCGTGTCCAGCCACGCCCAAAACACCTCCCCCTTGCAGAAGAAGTTCACAACACCCAGCTTGCACACGCGGGCAGCCAGCTCCATCGCGAGGAGCACGGTGTAAGCGTGGCGCAGGAGCACGAAGCCGACAGGAAGCTCCTCTCCGATATGCATGCTCCTGTACTGGACCTCCACCCCGCTCATGATCGCGCTGGTTCCAATCACGGCCCCGAAGAAAAACTCGAAACTGGCGCCCATTTCCTCGCTCTTGGCGAAAACCCCCGTCACGGCACGGCGCTGAGACTCCCTTGTGGTCGCCGAGATAGCGGAACGACCCTCCCGCTCCTTCGCCGCGGCGGCGACCCCCAAGACCGTGTCGGAGAAGGCGTTCGTCGCTGCCTTACTCACCGCTCGTGTCGCCCTCGACGACGTGGACACGCCTGACGTGGACACGCCTGTCTTCTGGTGGGCCACCTGGAGAAACCAGAAGGCACCGATACCGCTACTCCCCGGACCTCTCGCAAGGTGCGCTCTGACCAAAATTTCGAGGGGAATCCAAACGTGGCGACGAGAGCCTCCCAGGAGGCCCTTAAGGGTACGGTGGGGGCATCGAACGAAAACCCCTGAAGCCAGTGGAACTCCAGTCGTGGACTGGCCATGGGTCGCACCGCCTTCTCCCCAGGTAGGAATCCTCCAGGACCTGAAGCCTGAACGAAAGCCCTCACTGTAGTGTCAGGTCGGGCAAGTCCCCCTACATGCGGATCTTGGATGAAAACATATAGTCGAACAGTGTGCCAAAATGCCCAAAGATAGGCGAATCATCGCCCCCCATATTATTATTGTTTGACTATTGCTCTGAATCTTCCTCCTGTAGAGGGACGTGCCCGCCTTAACCGTAGTGGCATCGGTGCCTTTCCCTCCCCGGACCCTGCTCCCGGAGAGGCGGGTGCCCCTGCTCCCGGAGAGGGTGTGCACCATGGGCTGCGGCGGCAGGCGGGCGGACTCCTCGGGAGGCTGGGCCGGCTGCTCCGTGGGCCGCACGGACTCCGTCCCCGTGCAGCGGCTCCCGTACAGCATGGGCCGGCTGCGCGCAGGAGCGACCCTACACAAGCCTCGCCAAAGATGAACTGAAGAGCTCTTCAGCATCGAACCGCCCGATAGCTCGGGCACCTTGTCTGAAAACGCGCTCTCCAATGCTGTGAGGGCGCTGCCGGATTTCGGGCACCCCTGCGTCTGGGCCGAATACCTCATGCCAGCATTGAAGCAGCGCCCACCACGCAAGCCCCGAAAACAAAAACCTTTGGTGCGCGGCTTTCGGGGGCCGCGGGGGGGCCGCATCTGAGAGCGCGTGCCAGTGCCGCAGGGGCCCCCGAGGCCCCGTACCCACGGTCGCTCCTGCGAAGGGTCACTCCTGCGCGTGGCCGGATGGGGCTCTCGTTGGACAAATGCTCCCGCCTAACAGCGGCCACAGGGCCGCAACTCTCGCCCGCGAGCCGGCGCGCGCTGGTCGGGGGCTGCTCGAGGCGCCCCTGGCCCAGAGTGCCCCCCGCTTTTCGCTCGGCTCAGGAGCCCCGGGGGCCCTCTGAGCCCCGCGAGGGGTGCTCTGGAGGCCGTGGGGGCCTCCGTGGAAATCCTGGTGGATACTATAGGGCCAGGGGCCCGCGGCCAGGGGCACTGCTAGCAACGCCCGAGCTGGAGGGCCAGCGCCATCCAAGGTGCGCAAGGTGCTTGGAACTCTCCGCGCGGTCGTCGGGCATGGAGGCGATGAAGGAGTCCAGAACCCCCACGTCCTCCAGCAGGCGGCTCCGAAGGTCTGCCAGCCACGCCGCACACCCGTGGCTGGCGGAGGCGGAACCGGCGAGCGCGGGGAGCGGCTGGAACAGACTCGGATGCAACGCCTTGCCCAGCAGGGTGCCGTCAAATTTTCCGTCTGGCCCGCCACGATCGGCGCTCGCGTAGGCGGTTGCGCTCATACCTCCTCCCAGGCCAGGTGGCTGTCGCTACGTCTCGAGGGCGCTGAAGCCCAGGATGCCCTTGAAGGCCCTGGAGGCCCCCGCAGGGGCCGCAGCGGCTTGAGCCGACAAGACAGAAGCAATTCCTGAGGGCCCCGACGGCTTCAGCAGCCGGCGAAGAAGAAACTGCTCCTTGCGACACCAAACTTTCTTGTGGGGTGTTCTGTGCTCTCGTTTGCTGTATGCGCCGGAACTCGTTTCAGCGGCCTCATCTGGACAATACGGCGTGACACTTCTGAGGTTTTGTGGCGGTCCGCGAGAATGATGGAATCCGACGCGTCGCAAGGTGGCGATTCAAACGAGTGTGACGAGTGCCGTCGAGGATGTTCCCAACGGGAGGGAGGAACAGAGCGAACGAGGCCGCGGGCAGGGACACGAGACTGAGGCACTGTGGGCGGGAGACCCATGGCCCATTCGGCCATTTGTATGGTGTATAGCCACACGCCAGCGGCCATGAGCTTGCTGCCTCCGGACCTGTCCCTTTTGTCTTGTTGCGCGCTCTCTCTCCATGTGTATATATATACATATGTATGTATGTATGTATGTATGCATGCATGTATGTATGTATGTATGTATGTATGTATGTATGTATGTATGTATGTATGTATATATACATATATATGTAGGCGTATCTCTATCTATATTTCTTTGTTTGGTGTTTTCTCTTTTTTTGTCTCTCTCTCTCTCTCTCTCTTCATCTCTCACGATACAAGGACAGACGAAGTAATGATGCCCCACCTCAGCACTGGAAAATACACCATCGGAATCCCGACGCTCTAGACGTTTCTCGTGCGCCCGGGCCCCGCTCATCGCGCCCCCGGTCGCACCTGACGCGCCTCACCCCCCCCCTCTGCGTGTCCGCTCGCACCCAATAGACCTGGGTGCCCCCGCTTTCCCGCGGCGGAAGCATGCGGCCACGAGCACATCGAGGAAACACCCTGGGGGATGCGCTGCGCTTGCCAACCGTCGTCAGAGCACCGGAGCCAGCTTAGTGCTGGCTGTGGTTCGATGTGGCGTCCCAGGACGGCCATATCGACCTCAACCACATCTTAAGCCTTCTTAAGCCTTCATGTCGAGATCGGTGGGTACTTCCTCGAGGGGCCCTCCCGAACAATCCACTTAGCTGTTATTGAACTCCCACTTCTGAAAAATAATTATTGCTGATCCCCCCTCACTCGTGCATACTGTTGCTTCTCAATGAAGGTGTGCCCCTCGACGCTCGCGCGGTGTTTTTTGGCAGGGGAAGTGTTGATGCTCAACCTGCGCCCCTGGCCTCCGGATTACAATAACAACGGCTCCCGCCTGAGACTTCCTCCAAATTTGCCAAGGACCCCCGCTCCCGCCCGAGACTTCCTCGCATTTTATTCATCGCGCTCTCGCTTGGGACTTCCTTACAATTTATTCAGACATCGCTCTCGCGGCGCTCTGGAGTCGCGCTCTCGCTGGAGACTTGCTCGCAATTTACTGACGAATAGCGCTCTTGCGTTGGAATTTCCGGCAATTTGCTCAAGCGCCGCGCTCCCGACAGCCAGGCACCCAGGAGTCGCGCCCGTTGTGGCCCCATGTGCATGCCCTTCGTGGCCCCGCTGTCGCCGTTTGTGGCCCCCCCAGTCCTACGTGGCCCAATTGCTACCCTCAGTGGCCCCATCGTTGCCTTCTGTGGCCCCGCATTATCTGCCCTTCGTGGCCCCCGCTCGTTCGCGCTGTTCGTGGCCCCATACGCATTCCATTCGTGTCCCCGCTGTCGCCCTTCGTGGCCTACTTCGTGTCCTTCGTGGCCCTGCTGTCGTTCTCTCTCGCTCTCGCTTTCGCTCGTCGTCGCCGCCGTCGTCGTCGTCGTCGTCGCCGTCGTCGTCGACGTCGTCGTCGTCGTCGTGGTCGGTCCCCTGTGCGTCCCTCTGGGGGTCGGGTCGACGGTCCGCGGCCGCCCCGCCGATCAGCGCTGCCGCTGGCCAGGCCGACGGTCCGCGGCCGCCCCGCCGCTTGCCGGGGCCCGGCCTGCAGGGAGAAAGGTGTACCCTCCAAAATTCGATCGAAGACGAAGAGGGCGAGTATCGAGGGTTTGGGAAATACGCGTTACTGGACACTCGAGTAGATAAGGGCGAGCAGTCTTAATATGATTGCTGCTGTTGTTGTTGCTGTTGTTGCTGGTGTTGTCTCTATTGTGCTCCCGTTGCCCGAAATCGTGAAGGACCTGAGGGAGGAGGACTGGACTGAGGAGGAGGAAGAGGAGGAGGAGGAGGTGGAGGAGGAGGAAAAGGAGGAGGAAGAGGAGGAGGAAGAGGAGGAGGAGGAGGAGAGTGGGGAATTACAAATCTGGCAAGATCTACGCATGCCCTCTCGTATGTCCCCACGGCATTTGTTCCGTGCGCCAGAAGCTCCGCACTGTGTTCCGCGTCTGGAGGTGAGCCCAAGCACGTGTTCTAACACAGTACTCAGATTCGAAAGCAGTCCCACGGAAAGGGCCGATAATAGGAACGACAGCTCGCATTTCACAAGGGCTGTGCTTTGCTAAGTCGACCCCCTTCTGGCAACATCTAGGACCCCCCCCCCCCGCGACGGGCAATTTCTGTGACCACGTGGGGCATTGTGCTTCTCGTTTGGACTCTTGTGCCCCCGTGTCCCCCGAGCCTGGGAGGCCAACGCTAGGGCCTTTCTGTGCCCGCACTGGTCGGGTTCAATTTGTAAGACGTGAAAATCAAGTGAACGCCGACCGGAAATCTGCTCGTACGCGAGATCACATGGCAACCTTACGCGGCGACCTTACGCGGGCCGCCGGTGCGGCACGCCACATCGGCAACGAGGACGCTTACGCGCGACCTTGCGCGGGCAACTTACGCGCCAACGTCGGTGGAGACGACTCCGTTTTCTTTCGTCGCTCAAGCGGAACCATGCTGACTGTGCCGCGTCCGCCGCAAAATGCGGAGACTTATTCACTTGCACACGAAATGTCCCTGCGCGCACCCGAAACAATGGACCACTTCAACGTGCGCAGAGCAAAGCACAATACAAAACAACGACTGGCTTCTCGTGTGGCCCGTTGGGTTTGTGTGTGCTCCGTGAGATGACCCGCTTCTTCCAGCCCCGCTCACACGCTCCCCCACGGAACACTGGCCGCATGGACAGCCACGAGCCTGCGAAGGAAGACGCAGGGCAGGAACTGAGAAAGAGAAGGAGCGAGCAGGAGGCCGCAGGGCAAGGCAGGAGCCCACGCACCCGCCCACGAGAAGGGACGCAGGGCGGGAATACAGAGAACGAGAAGAAAGAAACAACCACCAGCGTAAACACATACATGTTTGACGGTCCGCGTGGATTTCCTGGATCTGCGCTGCGCTCCCCTGCCTGGCGCGCGGGGCGCGCCCAGGGGGGGGTGGCCGGAGGCGCCGAAAGTTTCTGTTCATGGCGTTTGTTTTGTTCTTCGAAAGAAAAACAGAGAACTGGCCGCAAGGCTGGGCTCGGGCCCCAACCGCCCGCGACGCGCCCAGAGTTAAGTTGGGCATGTCCCCCTACAGGCGGCTTTTGGGCGACGCATTAAAATTCCGCCCCACAAAACCAAACAAAAAACAACACATGCTCAACAAAGCGTCCGCGGACTATGTTTTTGACTATGATGCTGATGGCGGGAGGGGTAGCCGCAACGAGGACTTTCCACACACACACACACACACACACACACACACACACACACACACACACACATCAATTACACACGAAAGGTACTTGGTGAAGGTTCCATCGGAAGAATACCAGCTCCAAACTCGCAAGCCGCAGCCCTCATCTCAGATATGTTGAAAGCGTTCGGCGACATGTCCAGGGTAATCCAGCCAGACTTTGCCGTAACTCTCGGGACCGAGGTCAAACAAAGTGGGGATGCCCAACCTCCTCGCAATGTTGGCACGTAGCGTGTGATACTCAGTGCAATCCGAGAACAAGTCTCTGAAACTCGGCCACGGACACAATCAGCCACTTCCACTGTGACATGCGCTGCGCTGCTTGCTCTTTCTTCGTTTTCTTCTTTGTCTCTGCGTTGGCATCGCCCGCCGCGTCCTTCTCTTTCGTTTTGTT